AGCTCCGCAATAACCCGTGTATTTGGTGCCTCAAATTAATTTAATCACAGAAACGAAGGATTTTGGTAGCACAGTAGCGCCATCACGCGGGTTTATATTTTCGCCGGCGGACGGGTCTTCTATAGACGGAGTCTATTATATTCTTTGTTTGTATGTATAAAATCTTGTAGTGATTAGATTTACTTCGTTACTAAGTTTGGAAAATTCAGAGCGAATTGCCTGAGAGTTTTTATTTATTATTTTTATGTTTTCCTCAAATTTATTCATAATATTACCAGCAAATGAACTAAGGTCATTGATCTTATGCATTGAGTTTATTTGATTGTGCTGAAGTATTTCTAAATTCTGTGTAATAGTGTCTAAGTCATCATTGTCTAAGTTTCCTGTGACGAATTTGATGCCGCTGCCAAGGAAGTTCAATAACCCGCGTTTTTTACGATTATTGTTGATTTCATAAACATTCAATTTTGAGTATGTATCGTAAGTGTTATTCAATGCTTTAGATACATGGAAAAATTGGTTTTTTTGTGAAATTATTATTTTGCCTGTTCACCATAGAGCCTAAAATAACAATATTGCTAAATAAGTCGGATAAAGTATACTTAATGCTAGAAATATTAAAAGGTATATATGTTGTAAGGAAATGATCGATAATTAAGGAGGGTGATACTTCCTCAATATAGTAGATATTATTGGGAAGATTGTAAACCTGAAGGGCCTGGCAAGGGTTCACTTGAGCTTGCAGGGTCAGGATCAGGATCGGGAGGCTGAAAAGGAACAAGATTCTTTCTTAGTCTCTTAATTTTCCTGATATGAGTAGTAGTTGGTTTTTTCTTAGAAATGCTTACCACTTTATTTTTATTTGTTGTCGTAACCCTTGTTGGTATATACTGGGGATTTATTTTATTTCTACTCAGAGGATTTTTCTTATAGACAATTTGATCTGTTCTTAAAATAGGAGGGTCTTCGGTGTTTTTATTTAGTTTTTGTGTTCTTTCGGACTGTTTTTGGTAGGCTGTTTTATAAACATGTTCGTAAAAAGGTAACAATTCCTTTTTTCGTTTTTCGTTATATTGCTCAAAGATAGTCAAGTCGTTGTTTAGGTTGGGCTCATTGAGATAGGGGCCGTATAATACAGAAAATGGAGATTGTCCAGTTGTTGAATGTATGCTCTAATTATAAATTAGAATGGCGGAAATCATAAGATTTTGGGGCGTTTCGTCAGGATTTTGCATCTTAAGAATCCTTAATTTTTCAAGCAAGGTTGAATGTAATCTTTCTATCGGACTATTTGACGAAGAGTTGCCGGGAGTTGTATAATGAACTTCAATGCCAAACAGTTGACAAAATTCTTTGAAAAAGTTATTCTGAAACTCTTTTCCTTGATCAGACACTAGTTTTTGGGGAGTGTTGTGGTGGGAAAAGTAATGCCTTAATTTGCTTAGAATGGTAATGGCATTCTTATCAGGAACAAAATAGGCTTGAGCATATTTTGAAAATGAATCAATTATTGTTAAGAACTGGCAATTTGAGAATTGAAAAAGATCCAAGTGTATAGTTTTAAAAGGTTTTTCGGAAAGTAAAGGGCCTTCGTAAGCGATTTTGTAAGGATGTCTTTCGTACTTGTTTTGTAAGCAAATCTCACAATTGTTTATAAGGTATGTTATGGAATCTCTCAATTTTGGCAGTAGTATTTTTGTTTGATGTTATTATACGTTTCTGTAATGCCATTATGGTTATTTTGATGATAGTTTGTTATTATCTCTTTTTGTTGTTCAATATTTGTTACGTCCATTAAATAAATATTAGAAAAAACAAGTCTCGCAGAAGTGTTTAGATTTGCAAAGACTATTCTTTCAAATTCGATTTTTAATTCCGGATTTGGGATATAAATATTAAAGGAGTGATCTGGTCTTATAATTTCCTTTAGTATTTTTAGTATGTGCTCTTGTCTATTTTCTTTTGAGATTCGAATGAAATGGTGATTTTTGTGAAAAGGCTTGATAAGGGTGTGCTTGAATTCCTCGCCATAATCAATAACAAGACGATTTGTGGCATGATTTAGGGGCAATTCTGATATCGGCAACCGTTTGCCTTGTGTATCATTATTGGAGTGGACAGTGACGTCAGAGTTATTATCGTTCTCGTCGGGATTTATTGAAGGTGGCACTTCCTCTTGGGAAATTTGAAGTTGTGGTTTCTCGTTGTTAGTAACGTCATTGTATCGTTCGTTCAAAACAAAATCGGCAAGGTCGAAGTCAGAAAGATTGGCGACCGTGTCATCGACATTGGGGGCATTAGATTGCATATCGTTTATATCATTGGTTTGATTGACGTTGATCTCTACGCGTGAAAGAGCGTCGGCAACGACGTTTTCTCTGCCCTTTTTATACTTAATTTCGAAGTTAAATTCCTCCAACTTCAACTTCCAGCGAATTAGGCGAGAATTGGGTTCTTTGACTTTGGCAAGCCACACAAGAGGATTGTGGTCAGTTTCTATGACAAACTTGACACCATAAAGGTAGCAGCGAAAATGTTTTGTCGAGTCGACTATAGAAAGAAGTTCCCTTTCTATAGTGGAATAATTTCTTTCTGCGGAATTGAGGGTGCGGGAATAGAAAGCAATTGGGTGATCATTTTGGGATAAGACGCTGCCTATGGCAATATTTGAGGCGTCTGTGGTCAGTTTGAAAGGTTTTGCGAAATCGGGATATTGAAGGACAGGAGAATTACTGATAAGTTCTTTGCATTTTAAAAATGCGGTTTTAAACTCATGGTTTCCTATATTATTTTCACTACCTTTTCTGAGACATTTTGTTATAGGAAAAGTGATTTTTGAAAAGTTTTGTATGAATCTCCGGTAGTATCCCACTAAACCTAAAAAGGCTTTTATTTCTTTTTGATTTTTAGGAATTGGGTACCGTTGAATAGCTTCGATTTTTGAAGGGTTTGGCTTTATACCTTCGGGAGTTATTACGTGTCCAAGAGAGGCGACTTCTTTACACAGAAATTCTGACTTATCGGGCTGAATCTTAAGATTAACCTCTTCAAGTTTTTTGAAGATCTGCCGAATGTGATCTATATGCTCTGAAAGGGATTTCGAGAAGATGACAACGTCATCCATGTAAACGAAGCAAAATTTATATAAATAGTCACGCAGAATTTCGTCCATCATTCTTTGGAATGTGGCGGGGGCGTTTTTAAGCCCAAAGGGCATGCGCAGGTACTCGAAGTGACCATTGTTTACTGTGAAGGCAGTCTTCTCGATGGAATTTTGGTCCATTTCGATCTGGTGAAATCCTTGGGCAAGATCAAGGGTAGTGAAGTACGTGCATTTCCCGAGATTGTCTAAAATTTCTTCGATTCTTGGTAGGGGATATTTTTCTTCTACTGGGACGTCATTAAGTCGTCGATAGTCAATTACCATTCTGAATTTACGTTTTCCAGAGGCGTCGATCTTTTTAGGAACGATCCAGACGGGTGCAGAATAAGGTGAAATAGAGGGTCGAATATTTTTGTTATCTAGTAGCTTTTGTATTTGGGATTGAATTTCCAAATTCATGCTAGGAGGGTGTCTAAAGGACTTTACATATACGGGCCTGTCATCAGTTGTTCTGATGAAATGTTTTGTCTGACTTGTGAAGGATAAATCGCAGTTTTCATGGTACATAATATCCTTGAATTCGTGACAGAGGGGAATAATTTTTGTTTTTTCGAGAGGAGTCAAATGATCTAGTCTCAGAGATTTTTCGACATTGAGTTTTGGTACAGAATCGAAAGAGGGGTCTAACAATTCAAATTGGTCCTGTGGGATGACTTTAGCTCTTTGGTGGAAATTAATGCATATATTTGGAGTCGGATTAGGGATTTTGCAAAGTCCATTTTTTACTTCAATTAATGAATCAGGGATTATGTGATCATTTATTGCAAAGGAGGGTAAGATAGTTATGCCTTTTTCATAGTTAACTGGAATTACTAAAAAATTATTGTTATGATTTTTTATAGGCTCTACGTTGGACAATTCTTGGAATGAAAAGTTTCTAGGTCCTGTAGATTGGAAGAAATTGGGATATCTTACAGAGGGTTGTCTCTGTTGATACATCCGGGAAGGTCCCGCGGTAGATGTAGACATAGGGACGGGAGCGTCTTGTTTGGGAGGTATCTTATTATTTTGTGAGGGTGAAGGTCCTGTTTGTTTACCAAACACCTGGGCGTTCGTAGGAAAGTGTCTTCGTACTGGCTGGGATTGTACGAAAATGGGTTGACTCGGAAAACTTTGTGCTGAGGCGGCTAGATTTGATGACTTACCGGTTACATTCCGATTAAATTGATTATTTTGTGGTTTATGAACGTTGTTTTGTAGAGATGAATAATTGTTAGTAAAATTAACTTGTGATTCGACCATATTATAATTTAAAACATGCGTATAGGCTTCATTTAGGGTACTAGGGCGTTGTAACATTAACATTGTTTTTAATGTTTGCGGAGAATTTGCCGTTAATATAAGAACAGCTGTATTTTCCACTTGACTAAGAACAAGTAATTTTGAGTTTGCATCTTGGATTTCGCACTGAACTTTAGAAGTAATTCTTTGCACAAAAGATTTCAACTTTTCTACGAATTCTAAAATATTTTCGTTTTTACTAATTTTAAGATACTGTAATTGTTGCATAAGAATTTGATAATTAATTGGGTCACCAAACTTTTGTCTTAGTGCCTCTTTTATAGTTAACCAGGTGCCAAGATCTGGTCTGGAAAGTAAGAAATTACAAGCATCATCTACAAGCTTGGATTTAATAGCGGCCAGAACTACTTTTTTCTGATCTTCACTACTATTGAAATAAAGAGTATAGAATTCATCTATAGATAAAATAAAACTCTCTAAATGGTCTTGAATACCAGAGAAAGTTGGCAATAAAGAAGTATAGAACCTGATATTTTCCATTTTAATAGGATTAGAATTAGGATTTAAATTTAAGTTTTCAAGTAAGTTTGCTAACTCTTCTTCTCGCTCAGGAGTAAGAGTGTTATCAAATTCGTTATCAGAATTATCTGATTCACTATTTTCTGAATCTGAATTATTAAGAGTTAATCCTAAAGAAGCCCTATTTCGCAATAAAATACTTTTTAAACTTTTGGACATTAAATAGCAATTCAGCAATAACTTACAATACAATCATGAATGAATCCATAGAGCTTGTCTTGCAGAGGTTCACGACCAAAGGTAATCCTATAAAGGCGTGGCCAAATGGTTTCTTGTCCGGGTTGTTGGTCAGCATCGTCAGGAAGTCAGGAACGGGACTCAAGGCGTCTCTCACAGCTTCGGCAAGGACTTGTGGTTTCACCAATTCCTGGTTTGACTTTCTAGGGGTTCACGGTTCACAGCAACACAACTGGTACAGTGAGTTCACATCAACACCAACGACGAATCGCGGAAAAAGTTTTTAGTTCATATAGCGCGTAAAGGCTTGAAAACCACTTTCGCACAACGAAAACCGATAAAGTACGAAATCACGCTATCCTGTTCGCAGCGCCAATTAAGTTCCACGACCAACGGAGTGACTTTTAAAAAAGTTTATTTTTCGAAATAAAGGCCTTAACTAGTTTACAATACGTTTCTTAACTAAGGTGAACAATCAATTACGAACAGCAGCGAGCTTTGACACGAAATCAATGTTACATATTAAACACAATCAATTCTTTTTATGAAAACAAAATGTACATTCAGCATTATTAATAATAACATTAAATATAACCTAGTTCACGGATATTTCTAAGGTATCTGCTTTTATATTACCTACCTACTTACTTAGCATAGGTACCTATTTTATCTGCCTATCAATTTTAATGATTGATGCTGATGCCAAGGACTTCCCAATTTCTCAATAAATACATTGTTAAACTCAATTTTTTTACTTTGTCTAATTCCCAGTATAATTATTTATTCTTATTTTTTTAATCGAAAATTAAAAAAAAAAAAATTGGATCAACGTTTTTAAGAATTGGGTAATCGATCTTTGTCCTGGTTTTTTCCATAAAAAAAATAATGATAATTTTGGGAAATGTTATTAATTTTTTTGATACCTATAATATGTCATCACTAGGTACTCTTATTTTTTTCAATGATCAATGCTACGCGTAGGTGAATATAAATAAAACAATAATTGTCTTTACTTACCAGGAATCAGCAAACAGGGAATTGCTGTTGCTCGGATGCCCCTTGTTTCATTAACGATGTCACTGGGATTAAAATGGTTATTGCAAACAACATATTTCTGGTAAATTTCGTCTGCACTTAAAATGTTATAGTCTTTAGGTTTAATCCTATCTACCCAAAATTTAAATAATTCCGGGTATTTCTTGGGAAACCTATGTCTCCTGCTGGTCCGGTCTTCACATTCAGCAACACAACAAACTTTATTTCTCTTCGCAATTTCCATTTTAAAAAACCACGAAAATCACAAAAACTAAAACAAATCTGGGCACAAAACGCAACACAACACAACTCAACAAAAAAATAATATAAAAATATCTTAAAACTTGAGAACATTTAGGTTAGGGAACATGCCGGTAAATGCCAAAACAAAACATTCACAACCCAAACAATCTTCAGTGGCCTCTATCACCTAAAAAGGGAGAATTGCTGGGCGGAGCTGTAATATCAATTTTGTGGGTTGTCAGCGCCCTCTGTAGTTTGTCCCCAGTTACTAAACACGTTTAGGCGGGAGAGCAATACTTATTTTACTCAATTAGGTTAGTGTACTGTGATTAACTCATCCACATTATGGGGTGCATTGATGCGGCGGTGAACTGCTCTAGAAATAAAATCCCACATGTTTTCAATAGGATTCTGATCTGGGGAGTTCGCTGGCCATGGCAATCTGGTGATATGTCCTTGTTCAAGTGTTCTTTGAACCGTTCTTGCCCGATGTGGCCGGGCGTTGTCGTCCATGAAAATGAAATTCTCGCCCAAGTCGTTGCGTAATGGAATTATGATTGGCCTGATAACATTTTCAATGTACACTTCACTTATCATGTTCTGACGGATAGGAATTAATGGAGTTTGATGATTGTACATAATTCCTCCCTAAAACATTACTGTGCCTCCTTGATAGGGAGTAACCTCTCGATGAAAGTTCAGTCCCTGTTGACGACCTGGTTCTCTCCAGACCCTTTGCCTACGGTCATCACTCTGCAATCCGATTCTGGTTTCATCTGTGAACATGACCTAACGCCACTGCTGCAAAAGCCATCCACTATGCTCTCTCGCCCACTGTAACCGAGCAACTCTGTGTCGTGGACGTAGAGTAGGTACCCTTAAATTCCTTCTTGAATGAAGATTTGCAAGGTGGAGTCTTCTCCTAGTCCTCACTCTAGAGGTCGATAAAACACGTCGAAATGTACGCTAGAAGTGATTCCTTGGAGCTGGAGCTGGATCGTGGCGATGTCTACGGGCATATTGGACAACATACCAATCCTCCCTTTCATTTAGGACTCGAGGACGCCCACTACGTGGTTTTATTTCGATTGTACCAGCTTCCTCATACCCTTGAACAATTCGTACAATAGATGATCTCGGAATTTGTAACAGCCTGTGTATGTAATGGTTAGAATGTCCAGTCTCATGTAAAATCAAATAAACTGACACTTTTTTTTAAACTTCAATAGAAAGACCACCGCCTTTTTATCTCCAAATGTTTACGATCTTGATTATCAAGAGAATATTTAAACTTTTTGCCTAGCAACGAAAAACAAAATAAAAATATCGCACTTATCTCACAAAGGGGGGGGGGTCCAAGACTTTTGACGTTGTGTGTATAATGGAACTACAATCAGAAATACAGTGATTAAGGGTATTGAGACTATTAAGAGAGCATTCAAGACATTACTATACTTTGCCAACTGTGCCCTTATATTTCTAATAGTAATGATTTGACCCGCTACATATATAACATACCTACATACAACTCTAGAGCATCCTGGACAATACAAAATTCGTATCCCACCAGCAATCGACCATCATTTAGAATTTGACGATAATAAACTGGATGCATATCTAAAATCGCTTGATACACATCAGTTTTCTTTTTTTGTGGGTCATATCTTCATTACACTGCACTCGCTGTTTTACCAAATATGTCTTTTGCATTCTAAGTTTCACCAATATATAATTTTCCTGTTTTTGACGTCTTTAATTTCATACTTATTAGCAATAGCCTGATTTGCAATTCTTTAAACACTTCAGCATCGTTCAACCATTACCTACATTCTTTTGAAATGCTACCTTCGCTAAACTTTTGGTTTTTCGTTCAACAGCTCCTGCGTAACTTTTAATAAGTGCAGTAAGAATTGACTTCTCAAATTTTCTTAATATCATTAAGCAGCCCTAGTTCTAATTTTATCTCTGAAAATTGTTTCATATTCAATTTTCTGCGTCGTACAGTCTGTACAGTACCAATATAATCCTTGTATTTTCATGAACAATAAATAGGTAGTAAAATAACACGGAAAATACGATAAGAATGTCGACAAAACTTCACAAAAACCACTGCAAGAAATGCCTGGCTTTAAGCGTGTAATTTCCGCATCACACAATAATTAATTAATCTACGCTTTGAAACTACTTACAGAGCTCTTATAAACACGTCTATACATATCAGAGTGACAATTTGAAAAGTAGCAATCGGGAATATCTCTTAGACAAAAAATACTATCAGGAAGATCTCAAATATGTATCAAGGGATTGGAGGGGAAACCAAAATGAGGCACTTTTTGAGTCACCCCGCCTCACCCCTTAGGGGGTAGCTACCCCAACTTATTTTTTTTTAATACGAACCTACCTTGTGTTGTTCGATAGCTCGTTGCTATCCCTTTACAGACATATAGCAAAATCTGAAATCGGACGATTAGTTTTCGAGATATCGGTGTTTAAAAGTAAGGATATTTTGAAAACAAGTAATTTTGACTATCTCAGACAGAAGAAAGGGAAACCAAATGTGTTTATAATATATTATAATTTTTCTAAAATGTGAACCTACCCCGTGTGATAGCTCCCTTAAAAGGTTTTTTATTCGTCTTTAGAGACGTGCAGAAGCAGATAGAATTACGATAAACACATTATTTGGTTGTGCCGATGTGTATTCGAGACTTTTATGACAGAATTTTTTTGTCTATGACAAAATTACTCTGCTTACTTTTAAAAACCGATAGGTATCTCAAAAACTAATCGTACGATTTAAGATTTTTCTATAGGACTGTGAAGGGATAGCAACGAGCTATCCAACGATGTGCAACACAAGGTAGGTTCGTATTAAAAAAAAAATAAGTTGTGGTAGCTACCCCCTAAGAGGTGAGGCGGGGTGACTCAAAAAGTGCCTCATTTTGGTTCCCTCTCCAATCCCTCGATACGTATTTGAGATCTTCTGGATAGTATTTTTTGTCTAAGAGATATTCCCGATTGCTACTTTTCAAATTGTCACCCTGTATATGATGGAATTAACCATTCAATGGCTGTTGATATGAAAATATCACCATTTGCGCATTTGCCCGCAGTAAATTTTAAAATATTTCTGTTGAAATTGCGATCTATCGCACTGCAATTATTTTTTTATTTACAAAATTGACATTATTTTAGGTTGAGCGTGACATCGGTTTTGAATTTTTACTTGAAGAAAAACCGTCTATTAGAACAAAAAAATCCATTAATAACTAGAAAGTATGAATTATTTATTAAATATTTATATTTATTACAATCGTTTAGCAGAACTAAGAAATTGGAAATGCTTACAAAAAAAAATATATTTTTTTCTTTCAAACCACGCTTTACCTAGCTATTCAAAAATGAAATCAAGATCACTAAAATCAAAGCGATTTCTCAATTTTAAAGTATTGGAAAAGCAATTTTGGTTCCTTCAGGTCCTAGACAAATGTGCTGCGGATGAAATCCCTCAAAATCTACAAAATGGCGCCCCTACAGAATCTAAGATTTTCATCACCATTTGCAAATACAATTCAAAAACCTGTGGCGGCTATAAGGCAGTCCGTTTTTCTGATGGTATTTTTACAATATTTTGGAGCCCAATATATTAATAACGACCAAACCAAACATGGGCGAACTGTAGATTTTTGGAATCGGTAAGTTGGGCTTTTGAGGAATATGGTCGTTTCATTCGACTAGCATTAAAGTCATGCAAAATTACACAACTCCGCCATTCGATAATTTTTTTTCTGAAAAGGAATTCTAAAAATTTCGACACTTTCCTAAAGGCAGGTGCATCCTGTACAACAAAAATATTAAGTATCATAAACTTGCATCTCTTGCTGAGCTGCATT